CCATATGACCCAGTGGAGGACTCCGTATCTGTTTCTACCCTGATCAACTAAAAAATGCTGATGTTATAGGTATTTATAAAAAAGGTTAAAAACACACAACTATAGTTACCGAACAATCAGTGTACTATCAGAAGTGTATATATGAAAATATACATAGCTTTTTTGAAAACAAATTATCTTAATGCAAATACGTTTTTCGTAAAGTTCATAGTAAAATGTTTATTAACTGTGAGAAATGCCGAGATAAAAAAGGGTATTTTAGCACTTTACTTACGCTTTGCTTAAGGGTTTTCGATTGGGATTAGCATGCATTGTTTATCGCTAAACTAAATGATCATTGATTATTAGATGAATTAGATGTCAATAAGGATTAACATCAAATTTCCTAATTTAAAACTGACCACGGAAGACATATCGATAACAAATTACTATTCTTAAAACATAACTAAATACAAGTAAATAAAGCAATGCAAATGCTATTTATAATAAAAAAATACTTCTCTTATCTAAATTTTGTTTTGTCTTAAAAGACTGTTTTCAGCACTAGTTTGACAATATTTAGAAAATTGTGGATCTGTATATAACCCTTTGTCTGCTTAAAGATAAGCGAAAAGTTGAAAATATACTCCCAAATCTAAATTAGTTTATGGATGACAATTGTAAGACTATTAACTCCTTATTGACAATTGTCGCGAAAACGCATCAAACCTTATTGAGCTCTGTTATAAAAACAGTGGTCTATTTATACGACTGAAACCTTTTGAGACAAACTAAGTACATACTGATAGCCAAAATAAAAATACCACTATCGCCATCTTTGTTTGAAAACATTAACTCCATTGTTTTATCCAAGACTTGTAGTTCAATCTCTCACTATTTTTGTTCGCTGTAAATTTTAAACAATTCATTATAAAATAAGGTATACCTTATTTTATAATGAATTGTTTAAAATTTTAAGATAAATTTTTTAAAATAAAGTTTTATATTGTTTAAAATGAAATGCAGTGCTAGTTAGCACTGCATTTCATTAAAACGAAGTCTTATTATGTCCAAATTTTAGAAATTTTACCTCTTTTTTATGTTTTTATTTTAACACATCCTTATATTTATATTTTTAATACATAAATATAATTAATGTATTGTATATTATGGGATACTATAGTTTTTATACTACTACTAGAAATAGTACTATAGTCTAGTCTATAGTCTATAAGTATAATAGTATAGGTAATTATTATTGATTCTGCTAGTCAATGGAAGCCTGTAAGTGCAATTGTACATAAGTAGGCATATTATTTAGTCCAATCATGGTTCCAATTTTTGTGTATAGATTCTAATTAATTAATTATATAGTAGTCTAAACATAAGTAAATATATATATATATATATATATATATATATATATATATATATATATATATATATATATATATATATATATATATATATATATAGCATGTTATTGTATCTCTAACTATAAATGCATTTTTTTTAATTTTTTTTTAGCTTAGCAACTGCCCTCAGAAGGAAAAAAAAAAGTTTGCCTGGCAGACAGTAATGAATCAAAATTCTGCTAAAGAACTACCAATTTGGCAAGAAACGATCGAAGACTTTTTTGATAGTCAACTTTTGGATGGCATCGTTGAGCAGAGCAACCTTTATTGCACACAACTAAACCCCAACAGATCACTTCGATTAAATAAAAGTGAATTAGAACAATTTATCGGCACTGTGATTTATATGAGGATCATTCGCGTGCCAAGATCACGCATGTATTGGTCAAGCGAGTGTTGTGTAAAGCAAATGGTTGACACAATGTCTAGAGATAGGTAGGAAGAAATTAAAAAAAAACGTTCATTTTAATGACAATACCAACGTTCTAAAAAACGGGGTAACAATATTGATAAATTATTCAAAATAAGGCCAATTAATGATGCTCTTCTACCGAAATTCCATAGCCTCCCGCAAGATCAAATGCTCTCTATAGATGAGCAAATGGTGCCATTCAAAGGCAGGTCATCATTGAAACAGTATATACCAAAAAAGCCTTACAAATGGGGCTACAAAATTTTTGTACTCTGCGACACACATGGCCTTGTTCATGCCTTTGACATTTACACTGGAAAAATTGATCCTGTTCCAGGTGAAGTAGACATTGGTGCAAGTGGCGACATTGTGCTGAAACTTGCACAGGTCATACCGAGAGCAGTAAACCATATGTTGTATTTCGACAATTAGTTTTCATCGCTGTATTTGTTTGTTGCTCTCGCCAACAAACAAATACAGCGATGAAAACTAATTGAAGATCTTAGGACTGTGCAACTAAATAGATTGCAGGGATGCACATTCAGTGCTGACACCATCTTTAGAAAAAGGGGGAGATGAGCATTTGAAGAGAAGTAAGTTATTCTTGATAATGTATCTTTTATAACAATAGAGGGGTTATTGTTGCCAGTAGTTTTGCTAGTGCCCAGCTTGTGTCACAAGTGGAAAGATGGGACAGAAAATTAAAGAAGAAAGTTTCTGTTGACTGCCCAAACATAATAAAATTATACAACATGTTCATGGGTGGTTTTGATGCTCATGATGCATTCATTGCATACTACAGAATCCACATTCGATTGAAAAAATATTACCACAGGTTATTTTTTCATTTTGTGAACTTGGTAATTGTGAATAGCTGGCTACTCTATCGACGCAATTGCAATTCCTTAGAAATTCCTTAAAATTGCAAATGGATTTGTTAGTCTTCAGAGCATCTATTGCTCAAGTACCTTGTACGGAAGGCAAGGACATGTCCAAAAAATAGAGGGTCGCCCTTCTGATATTGAAAAGTAATTTGAAAAAAAATATATAGAGGACCTCCTATGGCTATTCCATCACAAGACGTCAGAACAGATGATGTGGGACACTGGCCAGTGATGCAAGATAAGCGACAATGATGCAAACGTCCCAATTGTAAGAGGAAAACAGTGATCAAATGCTCAAAGTGCAATGTTCACTTATGTCCTAACAAAAAGAAAAACGGTTTTCAGGAACTTTATGAATAGAATTGTAATTTGTTTCATTTTTTTTTTTTTAACTTTTTTATTATTTTAAATATTGATTTATTTTACTGAAGCAGTAATAATATATGAATTAAATATTGTTAAACATAACAATTGAATTGTCTATTATTAATTTTGAGTCTAATTGTTTATATTGTTGATAATGTGCAATTTTGTTAAAATTTACCATTTTATCCTAATATGCCTGTTGTCGCGTTTTTGCATCGAACCTAAAATAACGTATATTATAAACACTAGATTGAAATAGACTAACTCCCCAATATTTGGTATCTATTTAAGGACAAAAACAGAAAGAAATAATTTTTGAAGTTGTTTAGAACATAATTCATGCAATAAGGAGTTAAAAATTAATATGACAACCATAAGATACAGACTAATCCGTGGAAAATTTATAAACGTCTATTAATGGCTAAACAACGGCTACAAATGCCAAACAATCTTTCCAAAAACAATTATAAGTTCTATTACAAAATCACATTAAACTAGAAAAACCTTCTGTTCTCTGTCTCCTCGTCAAAACTATTTCACTTTACGAGTAGTCAACAAATGTAACTCCCTCCTAGTTGATGTTGTAAATGCGTCATCCTTGAGAAACTTTAAAAACAAACTAGACAATTATTTAATATATATATATATATATATATATATATATATATATATATATATATATATATATATATATATATATATATATATATATATATATAAAGAACGCGGAAACTCGTAGAAGACCGAAGATCTTGTCATCGAGTACGTTGTTTAAAGACGTTGTCACATTTTTACAAGTTAAATATTTTACGTAGTAAATAAAAAAGTTATGTTATGCAATAATAAAAGAATAGCAAGATTTAAATTAAAAAAACTACAAAAAAATAAAAAGTTCACAAAAAACTTCTTAAAGATAAATTGACAGATAGTATAATAGCAGTATAGGCTTGCAGATCGTAAATAATTGAGTAACAAATCATATCAAGAAAAATCATAAATTACAAATCATATAAACGATTTAAATAACAGATAAAAAGAATTTTAAAAGATTTTAAAAGTACATTTGCATATTGTCATTTTCAAAACTACTTCTTTCAACTTTTTTTTAAAAGATATGTAATTCCATTCAAAAGAAAAATCAGACAATTTTGTTCCAAATATACGGTCCACAAGGCCGGCGCGATAGGGGGGTGTGGGGGGTGTGACACCCCCCTTCCTCCCCCATCAATGATTTTTAGTCGGCAAACTGGACCCTTAGTCGGCAAATCGGACCTTTTTAGACTAGTTAGTCGGCAAATGTCGACCCTTTCGATATAGGTTAGACAGTCGGCAAATGTCGTAATGGCAGTCGGCAAATTTTGGAAAACGAGAACCTTTTTTTTTTTTTTTTAGTCGGCAAAAGTTGTAATGGCACCCCCCCCCCCCACGTCACAACTACTCGCGCCGGCTCTGACGGTCCACGAAATGATACGCAAAATTTACATTTATTAGTTTTCGAAACTGGTTGCATCGAAGAATCGTCTTTTCGTAGATCGTATTTATTTTTTTGTTTTGTTATAAACTTCACAGTTTATTTATACAACAAGTATAAATAAAATACACAACAAAAGTATATATATATATATATATATATATATATATATATATATATATATATATATATATATATATTTTTTTTTTTTTTTTTTTTTTTTTCAAAATTAAAAAATTAGCTTTCAGTCTTTTAAAAAACTTTTTCTGAAACATCGAATACTCAATTTTGTGAATACTCTGTTTTGCATAAAATTTTATAAGGTTTACAAATTAGATTTATACAGGCATGAATGTCTAATAACCTGCCATACAAATATATTATTCATGCGGTATATCACATGAATAATATATTTGTATGGGAGGTTATTAGGCATTCATGCCTGTACAAATCCAATTTGTAATTCGCAAGTATTCACAAAATTGAGTATTTGATGTTTCAGAAAAAGTTTTTTGAAAAAATGAAAGCTAATTTTTTAATTTTGTTGTGTATTTTATTTATACTAATTATGGTGATCCCGTATTTTTTCAAATTTGACTTGAGTTTCATAACAAATCTGAGTTACGCAACGCTATATAAAAAATCATCAATAAGTGAGAACGTTTATGAACACAAATTTAAATCGCTAATAGAAATACACGAGCATATTCGACATCAAATTCATAGCTTGCAAGAAGAAGGTGATTGTGAGAGGAAAAAAATTTTACTTTGTAGAAATGTTGAAAATTATGCTGGATTTGGTTCTAACGTACACCGATACGGAGTATGTATGCAAGTAGCGTATGGATTGGGTAGAACCTTTTTCATCCATCAAAATGAGTACAGCCATTTTGATGGCATATTTCAATGGGTTAAGCCCGAGTCATCAAAATGCGGTTATTTGAAACAAAAAATCCTTGCTGGCAAACTAAACACTTGTAATGCTCAAGACCCCTCTTGTTATTTAAACAATGGCTACGATTTAAACAATACTCATCAAGTAATTGAATTTAACACTTTAATTAAAAGAATACCATATCCGAGGCACATACCTGGGACTTTACCTGAAGAATTAAGAAAAAACCTGCTATATCTAAAAATTGAATATCCATGGCTTTGGTTTACTTCACAATTTCTTTCTTACCTTTTATTAAGGCCAAGACTAAAGTTCAACGAAAAATTATCTGCTTTAAAAGAACAGATTAACTTTACCTTACCAATTGTTGGTTTTCACATTCGACACGGTGATAAACTAACTAGTGGCGAAGCTAAGTATATTAATGAAAATGAATTTGTAAATATAGCAAGAACGTATTGTAATGAATACAACATCAGCAAAAAACAAATTTATATTGCAACGGACGATTTAGAAGCAATAAACATTACTAAAAACCATGCTCCAGACTTTCAAACAACAAGTTTACCGCACAGCTACTTAACAAATGGTTTAGGATCGTATTTTCAAAATAGTTTTCCGAAAGAAATAATCGAAAGTACATTAGTTGACTTATATTTACTTACTAGCACCAGTTACCTTGTATGCGACATTTCCTCGAATATATGCAGATTAGCTTACGAGCTAAAACAAGGGATGCCGCCATTTAAGCAAGATAACATATTTAAACAAGTGAATAAAGAAATGCAGTTTTTTTACTGTTGGTGGGGTCTCGGATTTCCGTCTTCAATGTGGATTAGTAAAAAACCGAATGAAGATTCTGAATATAAAAGTGAAGATGGCAAGGTTTATAAAATTTTAAAATACGGAAAAGATCTGTTTACAGAAATTGAAACAACTTCAAATACAAATGTATCTGATTTATTGTATTTAAAACGAATAACTCAATTAGAGAGTGAAGAAAATGGATATGTATATAAAAAAGATCTTTCGAAGTGGCCAGGAACACCAACATATCATTTTTTTCCCACCGAGAGTACTAATTTTATTAATTAAAAAGTTGTAAAATATTTCAATTTTTAGGCATCATAAAGTATTTAGTTTTATTGTTTACTTTACAATGTAAGAAAAATTGCGTATGATGGTTTTTTTTGTTCTACAACATGTAAAAGCAATATATAGTTTTTCATTTTTGTAATACTTTTATAGAATAGTTATAAAAAACTTAAAATTGGATTTAGTTTTTTTAAATATATATTATTTATTCGAGTGGTTTTTTTTTCAGTTTTTCTTTTCTGTTGAACACTTCTAAAGATTGCAAATATGATTTTTCAATATCTAGAATATATTTTTTATTTATAAAATATATTCTAGATATTGAAAAAACATTATGATGGCTATTTATAAAAAAAGATTAAAATCAGACAAAATAGTATCCGAACAATCAGTGTACTATCAGAAGTGTAAATATGATAATATAAAAAGCTTTTTTTTGAAAACAAATGATTTAAATACAAATACGTTTTTCGTAAAGATCTAGCAAAATGTTTAACAACTGTCAGATTCAAACTTATCTTAGCAACAGAAAACAGAGAGCAAAATAAATGAATAAAACAGTTTTTATTGATCTATTATTGTTTTATTTATTTATAATTTCTATTTTTACTAAATGTTTATATTGCAGGATATACTGATGATTTTTAGTTTTTAGTGCAAAAAAAGATTTAATCGTGAGTGATCTTCAAAATGCTTAACATTATTTTTCTTTATGGTTTAAATATAATATAATGAAAGCCAACTCGGAAAAATGTCATATTATTTATAAGAAAAACATATGCTTTTAGAGTTAACATCTGTGATATGGAAGTAGTTTCTTTTAAAAACGAAAACCTGGGATTGTGTTTCATAATAAACTTTTTTTACTATGCGAGTAAACACTTTATGCAAAACAGAGTATTCAAGTTATTAATTAATCAAATTAAATTAAATCAAATTAAATTAAATCAAATTAAAACGCTTTTGAGACTTGTTTTTTGTCTTTTAATCAACCAAGTCTTATAGTTAACAAATTCATTTATCTAATTTTTTATATTGTCCATAAGTCTACATGTTTCATATTTGAGTTTCATTAATTTAGAATTATATATATTAATTTAAAATTATATAATTAATTATATATAATAATTTTTATATATATTATATATATTATATATGTTATATATATTATATACATTATATTTATTATATATATATATATTATGTACATTAAGACTACCAAACTTTTTAAAATGATTTGCTGATAAAAAAAAAGGTTTATTACTATACGTTATAAGTACTTACAAGCGTTGGTTACCGAAATGTTTGAAGTTTAAAATAAGGATTGCACATTTATCAATAGAAGAATATTTTTCTTATTCAAGATACTAGCGTAAGAAGTAATAAATTTGCCTCCAGTAACATTCGAACCATGAAACACGGTCTAGAGTCTCTTGCACATTTAGGATTGTCAATATGGAATTCCGTTCCGACGGATTACCAAACAGCGCCTTCTTTGAAAGAGTTCAAAATAAAGCTTAAAATTTAGTTCCAAAACACCATTCAAATTATGGGTGATATTTATTAAGGACGTTGGATACTAAAATTAGTCGAAAGACTAATCTCTACAATTTTAAATAAATTGATTATCTCTTTAATGTTTATCTCTATAATGTTAGATAAATTTAAGAACGTCACAAGAATGTATCAAGAATGTAACCTTGGAAACACAAACTCTGCATATAATAAATTTATAAATACTTTCTTAGAGCACTACAATAAACATTTCTTAGTTGAAGAGAAAGTAGCTAAAGTATTTAAACTGCCCATAGATAACCTAGGGAATAAGAAAATCATCAAAAACAAAGCAAAAAGTTTATATAAAATATTTAAAAAATAGAAATGAAATTAACTTAACTAGATACAAGGAATACAAAAATTTATTTGAAATAATTACAAAGAATTCAAAATAAATCTATTATTCAAAACAACAAAGGTGGTATTCAAAAAACATGAAATAAATTAAAAGAAATAATGGGGAAAAACTATACAAGATCAAATAATTTACCCAATAAAATTATCATCAACGAAACTGAATATATCAAAAAAATCTCTATCGCCGAAATTTTCAATAGTTATTTTGCAAACATAAGCCCCAAACATGGCTTCAAAAATTCAATGCCTTGATAACTCCTTTGAAACCAATATTATAAATCAGCCTTTCTGCTTAAATAACTTTTCTGTACTAAACCATGATGAACTAAAAATTGCAAAAAACTCGCTTACTTACTCAAAATTACTTAAAATAAATGCGGTGTTCCCCCCCCCCTCCCTCAAGGTTCCATTCTTGCGCCTCTCTTATTTTTAATATACATTAAAGATCTTCCTAAAGCCTCAAGTAAACTAGATGTCATAATGTTTGCAGATGATTCTAATTTATTTTATGCATCCTTATCTATAACTGAACTTTATGAAACTACAAATACTGGACTTAGAAAACTAAACAACTGGTTTAAATCGAACAAATTATCGCTAAACACAGAAAAAACAAAATACATTCTTAAAAACCTAAAAAAGATACCACCAATTTACCTTCGCTAAATATAGATACTAAAGAAATTGATAGAACCCAAGCAACTAAACTTCTTGGAATATATTTTGATGAGAACATCTCATGGAAAGCCCATTTAGATATATTAAATACAAAAATATCAAAAATCATTCGAATCCTCTACAAAGTTCTATACTGTCTCGTGAAAATTTAAAACTCCAATTTTTCTTGTTCAGACAAAGCTATTATATATACGCTAATGTTGGATGGGCGAGTGCTCACAAATCCAAATTGTCCACACTTTATCGAAAACAAAAACATGCTGTAAGAATTGTTTATAATAAGTATAGACTCTCGCCTGCTGAGCCACTATTAAAAAACTTGAAAGCATTAAATGTATATAAAATCAACATGTTCTAAAATCTGATATTCATGCTAAAATATAAAATTGGACTTGTTCCTCTTCACTTTTTAAAGAATTTCTCCCCTAAAAAAATAAATATGACACAAGAGGAACGGGAAACTTCAACGTACCTATTAAAAAAACAACTCTCTCGCGCTTTTCTATTTCATGTCCCAAAAAAAACATAATAAGGATTTTTGATCAGACGTTACTTTAATACAGGATTAAAATTTTAAAATTGAAAATAATTTTTAAACACTACAGTTCCTTCAAAAAATATGGGCCACTTAAAGCTCTAGGCCCGCCCGCCGGGGTTTTGTGGTTCCTGCCACTGTATGTGTGTGTGTATGTTTGTCTGTGTTTGTATGTGTTTGTACTGTATGTGTTTTTGTACTGTATGTGTTTGTACTGTATGTGTTTGTATGTGTTTGTACTGTATGTTTGTATGTATGTATGTATATGCAGACCTAGGATTCACTCAGAAAATTCTGAGCGGCGCTGTAATTGTCGTTCAGTAGCTTTTTATGAACGGACGCTCGCAAATCTGCTCATAAAATTTCTTGAGCGGGCGCTCCGCTCATTTGCTCACAAATCCGCTCATAAAAAATTTTCAATAACTTTCCCAATATTTGTTTTTTAAATTCAGAAATGTTTTTAAACTAACTACTTTAAAAAATGAAAGTGAAACAACGCTAAACGTTAACTGCAGTATTAAAATTAAGAAGTTTCTCTGCCTGGTTACATACATGTGCTGTTTTAAAGATTAAGTTAAATATTTGACCACTAGATGGCGCATTTCAACATGGAGTTAACTCCATATTAACTAGTTCAATATTTGGCCGCTAGAAGGCGCAGAATGAGCGTAATTTTTGAGCGCTATCAAAAAAGCGTTCCCTCGCGCTCACGTTCATCTAAATTTGACGTCGCTCGCGCTCACGCTTCGCTCAGAAGTTTTGAGCGCCCCTCATGAGTGAGTTCAATTTGAGTGGCGCTCATCCTAGGTCTGTGTATATGTATATATGTATGTATATATATATATATATATATACATATATATATATATATATATATATATATATATATATATATATATATATATATATATATATATATATATATATATATATATATATATATATATATATATATATATATATATATATATATATATATATATATATATATATATATATATATAATATCAGTTCCGCATTGCGGTTTCTTGATGACAAGTTTACCGCGTTCTTTTTAATATAATATTCAATAAAAAAAAATAAAAAAAAATCTCTGTCATTTATCTCTACAATTTTTTTCTTTCTTTGTTTTCGTTTTTGTTTTGACTATTTTTGATTTGACTACTTGAAATTTGAATAATTAAACTCATTTAGTTAAATTTAGTTAAAAAAAAGCAATTACTTGTATGTATACTAGGTATATGACTTTTTTTCAATCAAGATTCCTGGGGTGGCAAATGATGAACTTTTATATAAGTATAGTAAATATGACTTTAAAGAAATAGCTACAATGCTTAATTCACATAAGTTATATATTGTAAAACAGAAATTTTAAACATCCATATGAATATATTCTTACTTTAGTCACTGTTAAGTGTTCACAATTGTAAATTTGAGTTTAAGAATTTAAACTGAAAGCTGATTTACCCAATGCATTTGGAAACACTTTTTTGCTTTCTGGCAATCAAATTCTGAAACAGCAGAATGCAATTCTTCTAAACTGTGTTCAGTGAAATGTTATTAGAGAACCACGCTGATGCCGATGTTCTTCCAGAAGAAAATAAGCTAGTAAAGCATATTTTGCTCTAGAGTTCCATCTCGCATTTTGAAATGAAGGAAGTTTTCGCCACTTGATTTTTGGAAATTTAGCACATTTCTAAAACACTTTGAAAGCCTCGCAAAGTTCGAACAGATACTTGAAACCACTCCTCTATCCAGTATTTTCAGAAGCAGGTACTTCAACTTCACCAGTATATTTCGTCTGAAGGTTCTCATACTGACTGCAAATGTTATCAACAAACTCATAGTTTATATCTGGTATCTTTCAAATTCTTTATAAAGCCGAGCGATTAATCTATTTCTGCTACCAGTGTTGACTGCTGTTGTATCGCACGCAATCATTTTAATAATCTTCCACACATCAAAGTCATCTAAGTGTTTCTTTAATCCAGAAAATATGTTTGCAGCCGAACCAGATTCACATATGATGATACCTAA